CGGTCAATTCAATCGTCGGCTAATGAGGTCACGCCGCTCACGCGGCGAGAATCGTCGCGCGCGGCAGTTGCTGCGGCGATTTCTGTGTGGACCTTTTCTTATCCATCCATGTCCATAAGTTGGCTAGGTGACTGATAACACCAGAGTGCTGGACATCAGTAAGCCAGCAAGCGTCACTGTAAGATCCTGCAGTGATTTAAGCCTCACAGTACAAAGGTTGTACCATGTAAAGGTTGTCCTTTTGAATTTAATTTGACTTCTTTATTAATCAGCTGCCTGAATTTCTATCAGAGAGTGATAATCTGGTTCAATCGGAAAGAATATTACGTATCAAGACACAGAGGAACGGTGAGGAAGGCTCTAACATAAGCATGATATGATAAGTATGTAATAATGGCGAGCGAAAACGAAACTGCATTTTAAAGGGTTAAGGTGGTTCCTATTCCATGTTTCATGAAGGGAAACATGATCTAATCTTACATTCCCCAATGTTTGGATGCTGAGTTCTTTGCAAATTCGCCGCGATATTGCTGGCTGCGGCGGCCTGGCGCGGCGACCTACTTACTGCCACGATTGAATCGTCACGCACCCCGTTTTCCTAGGTTCTTCTAAATCGTCTAAATCGGATAAGAACCTTTTTTTAGAGGGAAGTGTTGTTGTGTTTCAAAAGCACTGAGATCACCGCATAAAGATTGCTACGTACACTGTAGCGTCCATGTTTGATCAAACAAGCACATGCTTATCACTTTCATATCGAAGAGGTAGAACCATCAGTGGTATGGATCATTTCACCGCTACCATGCCAGTGATACCCATCAATGACGATTCCGAAACGTATGCACAAACTGCTTTTCTGCGGCCTGTCGAAAACTTAATTACTACGATGTTCCAGGAAGTTGGAATTCGAGAAGAACGAAGAGGAAATCCCACAGGGTGCAAGGTATTTTAAAGTTGCCGTTTCTCCACATAAAGTCCTTATGTCACACATAGGTTGTAATACGACCAGTTTCTACGCGGATAAAAGGAACCGTCCTTTGTGTTCCAAGCTTAATCGTATTTCAACATGGAAACACAATAATGTGTGGTACCCTAGAGCAGCTTTCTGAGGACGTGAATAGACGACATTTGTTGTATTGTCGCCAAGGTGCCAAAAATGTGGGACAAATGGCTCGAAGTCTTTGGCGTATATTTCTATACCAGTTTTGCTTCGCCCGCTATCGCGCGCATCACACGGCAGGCTTTAAACCATCTCACTATTGACTGTGTTAGACCCTGCTGTTTACTGAAGCTCATCGAGAATACGCGTGATAACGTCTGAGCTGAACTGGTATATTGATCACAACTGTAAACATCCAGCATTTTTCTTGAATTAAGATAATTTAGCGGTGAATAGGATTGCTGTCAGTCTCAAAATCAAAACGAAATATGCCTATTTACATAAGTGAGGAGCTAAGGCTTATCATTTATTT